CAGAAAAGGAAGGGGTAATAAGACATTTTAACTTTATCTGGCAACCCTGACGCTGGGTTCAGCTGCATTCATCGTGCATGCAGCATCTGCATGACAGTTACGTCCAAACTGGTGAATAGACTAATGTCTTTTTGGACTCTGGATTTTATTAGTTTAGCTCCTACATGCTGAAAAGGGGGGAGTAACACAAAAAAAACACTCTGCTCTCTGCCATTTGTTGTTAGTGCAGAAAAACTTTTGACTGCAGCCGCCTGTAGTGTGCATGTGCGACTTTACACTTGTGGAGAAAAGAGGTTTGTAGGCTCAATCATCCAGCTAGATAACAACAAAAAAGGTTAAATTGTGTCATCTGGACCAGTTTCTTTAAGTGAGAAACGTTTGGTCGCCCACCCAGAAGACTTTGTCAGTCTGCGGCCTGCCAACCAGATCTGTCCCATTCATTAGGCCTGTCACAATAACTAATTTTGCTGGGCAATTAATTGTCTCAGAAATTATTGCGATAAACAATAATATTGTTTGAAATTTGACAATAATTAGTAATTATTGTAAAATTTAAGAAGAAATGTTGGTGAATTTATGTTACGTTTAGTTCATTTTTTTGAACCGAAGGATGGATAGTGAGGGAGTGAGCAGCATACCTCTTTAAGAAAAATGGGAGGGAGGCCCCTTGACGTGACATGGGCTGTCTCTCCTTCCTTGTTTTCAGTTCTAGAAATGGCGGACACTTGGTGCGGTTTGAGCTCTTTAGCATAGCATTTTTCACACAAAGCTTTTAATAAAAAATTTAAAAAATCGTTAAACAAGTTCTCAGCTTCTTTTTGCAGAGAAAAACTACTTTTTACACGAAGGCACAGGTTTCAAACGTGAATTTTGGAACTTCAACAAGATGGAGGTTTTTTTTCTCCATGGTCGGCCTTTTAGCTTAGCTCATAGCTTAGCTTCTCAGCTTAGCTGCTTTTAGCGAAGAGCGAAGAAAAGAAGAGAATAAACGATAAAGCCGATAAATGAAAACAAGGTCGATAATTTTCATTTATCATGCGATTAATTGATTTATTGTTCATCGCGACAGGCCTTGCCTTCACTGCTGTGTTTCAAGCAGCTGGCATGCGGAAAATTTCACACCTCCACGAGGGGGTATCCCCGGAAAATTTCTGGATCCAGACACCTTCGGTTTCAGAGAGAACGAGGGCTGTTGTCATGTAAATGAACGGTCGGACCGCAGCCGAAAAGCTGTGGTTTCACTAAAAAAAAGGTGTTGTGTAAACAGGGCCTTTGAAACTCACCAAATTAAAAAATAAATAAATAAACTCTAGATAAAATGAAGAGTTTATGTCCCTAAACTGTCTTAGAAAAAAGCTGCTGAAGCTGGCTACATATGGTACTTTCTCACTGATGACTTTTAGAGATGTAAATTAAGATGAGATGAGGTTTTTCTGTTTTGTATTCCTGAATGTGAGACTGATCTTGGGACAGAGTCTAAATCATGAAAAAGGCAATCTGTAGAAAATACATGAATGAATGGATGGGGGAAGAGGGAGACAATCAAGAAATGTGTAAATATGTGAAATAATCATTTAAGCTTAAAGCAGATAAATCCCAAAGTTTCAACTGTAACTCGAGCACTAATCACACAAATGTATCCTTCATCTCATTCGTAAACCACTGCCTCATAAGCAGGAGTTTGAATCATGACGTACAGCATTATAAAAAAGAAAACAAGCAATGTGGTCAAAAACTCAAAAGCAGACTGTAAATTAAAGCGGCGAGGAACCAGACAGCAGAGAGACACAAACCTGATCGGAAGCATTCAATTATCTGCTGAATCCCGGACTTGGAGGTCTGCAGAGGCTGCTGGAGCAGGGGAGGATCACCAGGCTCCCCACAAAAACCTACACAGATAGACAGAGACAGCGTTGCATCAAAGTCGGATCCTAATTACATCAGAGTATGACCGTGTGTGAGAAATACAGCGTTGCATGAAGAGTCTGGGCAGCTGCCATGAAACGGGCAAACTGCCGTGTGTTTGTAAGAGCAAACACAATGAGGCTGGAAATGGACAGTGATTCACTCTGACCTCATTACCTTCCAGCGCACACACTCTCCAAGAAACACACAAAAGCTACATCTACAAGAAGGCAAGTGATGTATTTTTTTCCTTCTAAGAGTAGAAATATATAAATCTATACAGGAAAAACAAAGAGACAGAGTGGGGTCTGTTCCAAGAGGAAGTGACTGAACACACAAGAGGAAAGAAGTTTGATGAGGACGAGTTTAGTTCTTTTACTTTAACACCGGTCAGCAACAAGAGTCGGACGGCATCCACTGATTTATAGTTTTAAAAAAGGCTAGGTTAGATTAAAAATAGAAAATATAATTTCTGATGATGGTAACATACTTCAAATTTACTGAGAAGTTTGTACATTTTTTCTTGTATTTGGTTATAACAATGTAAAATCATTGTTTTATTATCCTCCACCACTACAAAGGCAGAGGGGGGTGATAATGTTGTTGCCTGTGTTTGTGTGTGTACCTGTGCCTGTCTGTTAAACTGCTGGACCAGTTGCTGGAAGTAATCACTGGATGCACATATAGTTAAAGATAGTTTCCACAGCTTATTGGCAGAATCTGAGCTACATTTTGACATAGTAGTAGCTTAGAGTCATTCTCAACACATTTTCTGAAGTACAGTACAGTCGTCCCTCGCTACTTTGCGGTTCAACTTTTGCTCTTTCGTTGTTTTTCAAAGTAAGATTGAACACAAGGAAAAATAAAGATTGTACATGACACACAATTGTCAACTTTATTACATGATTGGGACAATACAGGATACTGTACAGTAAAAAGTTAACCAAAAAATAATTCAGACAGGCGGCGCCATTTTGTAGTTTTCTCGCCGTATCCCTGCTCATAAGGACTACATTTCCCAGAAGCCAACAGTGCCTCGTTCAGAAGACCCGTTGCTTTCTGCTGAAATACGTAGAGGGAAAGTTCTGATCTGATCGAAAAAGTTTGGTGCTTATTACTGTACAGTGACTTCAGCGCCCAGCGGATTCAGAGAGCTACAGGGAACCCACAAGAACCGGACCTCCAGACCCATCGGCGTATCCGACAGCTGTTAGCCGACCTACGAGGCCTTCCAAGCATGTAGGCACCACCGTAGGTCCGGCTACTCTCTGGAGCACACCAGGACATTTTTTTTAACTCTTTATTGGAGCGCTCAAATGGACACCGGTCCTGCGCTGGCCACCCGAAGGTCCGGCCACCCCTCCCCAAAATGCGCTTCGGCGCTCAAGCGCTGCACATAACTGAGAACCGCAGCTGTTCTGCCAGCTGGCGAGTTCTTCTTCTTTCGGCTGCTCCCTGCGTTTGGGGTCGCCACAGCGAACCAAGTAGCTAAATATAAGTATGTTGTTAAAATGACGTAGGTTTAAGAGTTTAGAACATTGCAAGAGTGTGAGAAGGGTTTTTAAAGCCTTAATATACACCATATTTTTCGCCATTTAAGACACACCTTTTTGCATAATTTGCGAGTCCTGCAACTTATACACTCAAGTGGCTAATATGCATTTTTTCCCCATATGTATAACCCAATTTTTGGCTGATATCTGACGATTTCATTCATTTTGACATGAAAAATATTGAACACTACCATTTGCAGCCACTAGAGGGTGTATATGCTGCAATGGAAAACCTTTTCTGCCTGAAGAAACTACAAGGAAAATGATGTTATAAATGTGTTAATTTACTTAATGGTTTATGTGCAACACAGATTTATTCCTCTTTTGTATTAAACAATAAAAACTGAACAGGAAGAGCAACGTTTTGTTGTTGTCAAGACGGTAAAGTTCTCTCATTTTAACTGTTCCACAAAAACAAGTAAAGTGAAATATTATTTAGTTTGTTGTTTAACTATTTTAATATGCATACAGTACTGACAAGAGGAAACCTAGTGAGCTTTAAAACACATGTAAAGATGAAATAAGGAGGACACAACTTCTGCTGTTTGTAACTACAGTTAAAAAGCTTTAAATATTGCATCACTAGAGTTTACATGAGTAACAAATGACCACACGTTAGCTCTTTAGGAAATTGTGGTTCACATGCAACAACGTGGATTTAATCAGTGTGCAGAGTTTTAAATCAGACGATAACGCTGCAGTTTATCAGCTGAGTAGATAAGTCCGGTCAGCTGACACAGCTAGAAGATAAAACAGTTAATGTGCAAAGCTGTTGCTCTTTACGCTTGAACGCACACAAATGCACACAGCAGAGGAAGCGGCGCAGCGGTGTTATTATGTTTGAGTATGACATGTAGGTATAACTGATTCAGACTGATGCAGGTTAAAACCATCAACCAGCATCAAAGAGCCACCCCTCATGACCCTCATCTTGAACAAGGTTAGATGCAGGTCGTTTCTACAATCGAGGCGGGTAAAACCAGCACTGACAAGATCCGTTTCGTGTTTATGTCTGCTGACTGTGTGCAGTATAAGCAAAAAAAACAGACAAAAACGAAAGACACTCCCATGAAGACCGTAGGAAAAGTGAGTACCAATTACAGAAGAGGTTTTATTAAGTGATGGAGATTATGTTTTAATGTGTGCTAGAAAGTGTTTTTGATCCACTCCAAAGCTGTTATAATCCCAGCAATGCAAGTAAACCCAAAAACCTCTTATATCACAAACGCCAGTGCAGAAGATCAAACAAAAGGTCTCTTAATGTGATTGTAAGTCCTCACCTAATTAACGCACACTATCAGCGTTTACACATCAAACTACAGTGCTGTGAAAAAGTAATCGCCTGCTTACAGATTTCATTTGCTTTTGCCGTTTTCTCCCACTTACACATTTTAAACCATCAAACAAGCATTTAATCTGAGTAACACAAAATGTGTTTTTTTTTTAATCATTTCATTTAATTAGCGGGGAAAAAATGTCCAAACCTGCTTGGCCTGCTCTTCGCCCTATAAGTCGCACATTTTTGCACAAATTTGCATGCACTGCGACTTATACGGTGAAGCGCTCATTTATGTTTTTTCCCCATATTTATAACACAATTTTTGGCTGAGATCTGACGATTTCATTCATTCTGACATGGAAAATATTGAACACTACCATTTTCAGCTGATCGAGGGCCCTCAACTAATATGGCAGCTAAGTGTCTCATTAATAGGTAAAAGTAGCTATTAATGAGACACTTGGTTTGACATGAAGAGCCATGTCGTCTTGCTCCGAAACTCCTGGAGCAAACGTCAAATCAACTCCATTTTTTCTGCTCTCGTTCAAGGCGGACACCTTCTCTTCTCCCTCCCGTTTTCATCTTCCTCCTGCTTTTTGCTCTCTGTTTGTGTCTCAGAGCTCCTGGAGTGGGCAACCTAAGGAAAAAGCTTCGTCTATCATAATCCCCCACCCCGAGGACTTATGTGCAGGCTTATCAGAACCGCCAGCTGAACAACATCTTATCAGAACCATGGCCTATCTGGAAGTGCTTCATGGACAAATCTCAATGTCTTAACATCAAATGCATATGTCATTTTGTTTATAATTGTGCTTGCTGGTAAGTTTTTTGATGTCTCATCCTCATGGCTCTTAACTTTTTAAAGTATTCTGATAAAGAATAAGAGGCCGCGCTCTTGTAGCAGCAGCAACGTGCACGCCGGCTATCTTTCGGATGACTGTACGAACATAATCACACTGTACCCCGGTACAATGATAATAAAGCTTATTATCATTGCCGCCCAGGCGAAATGCAGCTGATTTGACCATTAAAGTCCATTTATTAAGGAAAAGTTAAAGTGAGACTCACCTTTCCTAGAATATTGAGCAAACAAATAATTGTGTTAATCTTGTTAAATTCTTGTTAAAGTCTTCCCGTGCACGCTCCCGTGGGCGCCATTTGGCAGCCAATCAATTTCTGGCACAACACCGGCCCACATTTCCAGGTGGTCAGTGGTGATGCATAATAGATGAGACTTATACGGCGAAGCGATGTATTTATGTTTTTTTTTCCACTTTATTAGACATATTTGGACTGAAGTGACTTATACGGCGGTGCGACGTGTACGGCGGCAAGTACGGTAAGTGCTCGTGATAATTGATGTGAGTCTTCCACTTGGCTGTGGAGGAGTTCTGCTGCTGTGCTTTGGATCACTGTCCAGCTGCAGAGTTGGTCATGAACTGATGACCGGGTACATTCTCTACCAGGACGTTCTGGTAGACATTTCACGGTACAGCAACTTGTTCGAGCAGCGGCACATCATCACACTACCGCCACCATGTCTGACTGTCAGTATGACGTTCTTTTCCTGAAATGCAGTGTTAGTTCTACGTCAGATGAGCTGCTCGTCAGTTCACGTAGCTTTTTTACCCAAAAGTCTTCTCATCAGAGTTGTTTTTAATCTGTAAAGGGGCAAATACTACAAAGTAATTAGAAGGGGGGTAAAAGTCCAACAATCATAATTAGAGCTACGAATGTTCCTATAAATGCATCAGACTTGTTTAGGGAGTATGCAGAGGAATATTGATGTTAACAGAATACATTAAGAAAACAAATGTCCACAAATGTCCGCGCTGACCCATAGCGCACACTGTGGTACAGAAACCAGCAAGCACCTCCTCTATGAAGCAGTCAGTTTTACTGAGAGAACAAACCCATTTAGTTTTATTTTTGAGTAGCTCCAGCAGTGAAGCGACACGGGGGGGTTGACAGAGTTTTAGCCTGAAGGTGAATGAATTAAAGCAGCAAGACATGGAGACATAATACAAAATAAAACAACCAACCTGGGTTATGACTATAGTTGTAGGCAGTGGTCGGTGGAAACGTCTCCTCGGTCTGGCAGCTCTGGTCCCTGCTCTCAGAGGTGGGGTCCCTTTGGGGCTCAGGCAGCAGAGGGGGAATGGGCCTCCACAGAGACTTGGCTTGGAGATGGTCGGCAGAATCACTCGTACTCTGAGCGTCTTCTGGAGTTTCTTTATAATCCAAGCTCTCTGACGGGAGTCCAGGTAAAGCAGACGTTTGGGGATGGATCTGATCTTCTCCTCTGGGCTGTCCCTGTGGAGAAGGCTGAGAGTCCAAACTGGGTTGGCCTTTCTCCATCTCTGTCCGACCACCACCCTATTAGACAAAAAACACAAGAGGGGCAACAATATTTACCTCAATGATTAAAAAAACAGCAGAAATTTTACATAAAACAATGGATGCCATGATGCTTGCAAGCAAACAAACAGAAAACTTCTGGGCTCGTTGCAATGATCTGCAAATCTCATGAACCCACGTTTTATTCACAATGGAACATAGTAAACAAATAAATTGTTTTATCTAAGAAACTGTACCATTTTTAGGAAACATGAAGTAAATTAGAATTTGATGGCTGCAACAAATCTCTTAAAAATTGGAAGAAGGGCAACAAGAGGCTGTAAAGGCCAGTTGCACAAATAAGAAACAACTGGGGGAGAATTTTCCAAGAAGTTAATTGCAACAAGTCAGTGAAAGGAGCGCTACTCCACTTCAACTGTACGGTAGATAGAATATGGGTTTATGAGCTTTGCAAACAACTGCAGTCTGTATTTATTTACATTTAAAGCAATGCTCCACATTGTGTCTTTATATTACTCTTAATAAAAGTGTTTCTGTTCTGTACACATTGTTTAAAAATGAATAAACCCTTACACTGTATTTCTTTAAAAGTTGGAATAAAATGGTATTTTATTCTGAAAACAGAGAATTTCTTAAAGTCAGGTCCTCTGGAAGGATTTTGTAAAGGATCTTTGTAAAATACACCAGAATGCAGGAAATGGCATCTACTTTATTCAAAAGTATCTAAGGGAGCACCCACAGACCCCCGCCCATCCACTATTTGTGTTCCAGCATCGTTTGGTTTACAAATTAAGCCCTTGGTGCATACGCATATAGTTTTTTGTGTTGCTGTCACGTCTTCTGAACATCTTGGATATTTGTAAGGGAACATTTCCCGTGTCCCACACAGTCACCCTAGAGCAGATAAATGACTCCACTTCAACTCGTCCCACTGTGCATCCGTTCATGTGTCTGTGCGATGCTGTGTCTCTAAACCAGACCCTCCTTCCCTCCCAGTCGCTAATCTTTTCTTCTTTCCTACAAACCAATTTATCCTCATTTTCGCTCCGTCCGTGTCTGTCTCACCAACTCCTTGTGTCCCTGCTGCCCTTGAAGTGAATAAATGACACACGACCTGAGGACAAACGCTCTACTTGGACGCTCTGTCACACGCTGCATGCAAACACACACCAGCAAATTAAAGGCCTAGCATTCCTTGAAGGAATGCATACAGTCATGCCCGCGTTATAAACTTTTTTTTTTTTGCATCATGGCCACTGGAGACTGAATTTGAACCTGAAGTTGCAGATTTTTGCCAATTACATGAAAAAAGAGTACCTATTTTATTACTCAGAACAGTTCCTGCAACAAAAAGAAGAAACGTAAACATTATATTTAGTGCATATATAAAAAGTAACCAACAGGGAGTCCTCCACTCAGCCAGAATTTAAATTCAGTCAGTCAGCTTATCTATGACTCATTTCATCTTGGAACGAAACGAGCACAAATCATAAGAGGGGACTGATTGGAAGGTGGACTACCCACAAATTTTCACTTACTCCTTTGAAAAACGATCAGGTGAAGAATAAATCAGGTGAAACCGGGATAAGAAGGGATTTATGAAATATGATGATCATTAAAAAACTTGACTCATTTACCTGTCACACAGTTAGTCATGTGGCGTACATCACACAATAATTAATTCAATGATTCATTTGATTAATAACATCAGTCTAAAAACAAGTGATACACGACGAGCTGTAATGAAGATTTCAGGCTCTTATTTTTGGTGCTTCGGCACGTTTGGCATAAACAAAAGATTTGACATCAAAAATGTCACGTCAGATTTCATCCGTTTAGGTTTATATCGATTGTTAAAGATCTGAATGACAAAATACTCAGCAACAAAGAGCGTTCAGAAAGTGGATTTTTTTTTTTCTATTTGTGTGTTTGGTGTGAGCATGTATGTGACGTGGTGAAGTGCTTATGAGAAGTAAATGTCTTACCTGCAGTATTAGGTGGTCAGCGTGCTCTCAGTTTAGAGAAGCATTTCTAAACTAGAGAAATTGCATTTCCTGTGGAAAATGCAGTGAATGTTTATTGCTGAATAACTTGCTGAGAAACAGCTGAAATTACCTAAAACATGCTGAAATGTAGGTGAAAAGGAAGCAAGCCTAAGTTAGCAGCAGAAAGATCACATATTTACCTAATTAGGTATAAGCAGAAATTAGTAAAAAAAATTGAAAAAATTGAAAAAAAAAGTTTAAATTTAAAAAAAAGGTAGCTGAAAAAGCAAAAAAAAAAAAAAGCTTAAACTACCAGAAGGATGAAGGATGTGTAAGGAGCTATGAGCTCAAAAAATGTGGAATTAGCTGAAAAAAGCTAAATTTAGCACAAAAACTGCTAAATAGTAGCTGAAATAGCAGAAATAAGTTGAAAGGAGCATAACAAGCTTAAATTAGTAGAAAAGTTAATGAGGCTGAAAGTAGCAGAAATTACCACGAAAAACTTTAATTTATCTGAAAACAACTGGGCAGCACGGTGGCGCAACTGGTAGAGCTGCTGCCTCTCAGCGAGAAGGTCCTTGGTTCAAACCCCAGTCCAGGGGCCTTTCTGGGTGGAGTTTTCATGTTCTCTCCGTGCATGCGTGGGTTTTCTCCGGGTACTCCGGTTTCCTCCCACAGTCCAAAAACATGCATGTTAGGCTGATTGGTAACTCTAAATTGTCCCTAGGTGTGAGTGAGAGAGTGAATGGTTGTTTGTCTCGTTTGTCTCTATGTGGCCCTGTGATGGACTTGCGACCCGTCCAGGGTGTACCCCGCCCCTCGCACAGTGATTGCTGGACATGGGCACCAGCGACCCCCGTGACCCAAAATGGAATAAACGGGTAAAAGATAATGGATTGATGGATGAAAACAACTGAAATTAGCTAAAAAATGCTAAAATAATAGCTGAAAATGTAGAACAAGCTTAAAATAGCAAAAATAAGTAGAGAGAGCACAGTTTTGCCCAATTAGGTTGAAAGAAGCTGAAATTAGCACAAAAAAACAGCTGAAAAATAGCTAAAAAGTAGAATGAAGCTTAAATTACCAGAAGGAAGTAGAGAGCACATTTTTGCTGAATTAAGCTGAAAAATGTTGAAATGAGTGCAAATAAAGAGGAATAATCTGAAAAAAGTAAAATTGCCATAGCATAAAAACAGCTAAATAGTAGCTGAAATAGCAGATAAAGCTGAATTAGCAGACAAGTTAGAAGAAGCACAAAAATGTTGTAGTTAGAATCTGAAAGGAGCACAAAACTAGGCCTGTCACGATAACAAATTTTGCTGGACAATTAATTGTCTCAGAAATTATTGCAATAAACGATAATATTGTTTGAAATTTGACAATAGTTGGTAATTATTGTCAAACTGTCAAATAGCTAGTAATAAGCTATTTTCAGCTTAGCTGCTTTTAACTATCCAAAAACACAATTTTGGATGGTTGAAATTGATTTTAAAGAGAAAGGGAGGGGTCAGTGAAGACCACCGGAGTTGAACCTTTTGTCATCCAGTGTCTTCAAGAGAAAGAGAGAGACGTGAACAAACAATAAAGCCAATAAATGAAAATGAGGTTGATCATTTTCATTGATCATGCGATTAATTGATTTGTTTATCGTGACAGGCCTACATAAAACAGCTGAAAAAAACAGCTGAAATTAGCTGAAAGAAAAATGGATCACAATAGTGTGAATGCTTCATAAACATTCACATAATAAGAGCCAAGTTAAGAGCTTCTGGGAATAAGTGCCGCAGATCGATCTTTCTGCCACCAAAAACAAATTCAGGCTGTTTTGAAAAACCATGGTACTGTTTTCACAGCACAAATTTCTCTCGATCTTAAAAATACACGTCGTTTCATATTTTATTTTCAGTCAGACTCTGAATCTAAGTCTTTACTATAGAAATGCAGCAATTTGTTGTTTAATGTGCAGGACCCTGTGATTTATGTGATGTGCAACAGGTGGGTGAAACTGCAGATCTGGACATAAATGGAGAACATGCAGAAAGATCCCCAACCTGCTTGAAACCAGGACCAGGTATATTAATCATAGGCGCATATTAAAGCTCTCTAACACATTTAGTTAAGACTTTATTGAATGTTCTGTTCAATCTAGAACTATTTTTTCATGTATATTTATTAAAAAAAATAATAGTTAAATTTTAATGAAGTTGTACTATTTTATTATTGAATTGTTTATTTATCAGGACACATTTTAGGTGACAGTGTGGTTACATCAAAAAACACGAACGTAAAAAAAAAATGGGAATTTGGAAAAATGATCAAAACTCCTTTCATGCAGTGATAAATACATTTAGACTCAGTCAAATGCATGTGCCAATCCTTAAACTGTGTAGCCAAAGCAACAACAAAAGTACTTTTCAAGGTAAAGAGGGGGAATAAACCTTTGTATTTCACCTGATCTCAGTTTAATTTAGCTGCATTGCTGCAAATGAGCCTCAAGACAGAAATACTACACCTTTCACTGCAAATTACTTCCTACAAAATATTCCAGATTATTTTTCATTTTTTGTGCTGCTCGCTCCATTTCTTTTCCAAAATTACATACACTAAGTCCAATTAATGTGCAAATTCTGTGGCTTATTGTAGTTTTCCATTAGATTAGGTCAGAATATGAGTCTGTTTCATAGTACAACCACTTTTAATCTATAACGCATGAACAAACTGTGTGTAGGCATCATATTTGCTTTATTTACTGCATTTTAAAGCTTTTAATATGGATTTAAAAATACAATTAAGCAAATAGGACATGAGCCATGACTCAGCAGAAAAACCTAACTATCATGACAGATATATGTATATATATATATATATATATATATACATATATATATATA